CTTTGAGCCTAGCACCGTCACGAGGACGGTGCACTCCGTCCCCTCCAGCGACGACCAACTGTCTCCTGGAGCCAGTATGGACGAGGTAGTAGGTAATAGACAGGTAGGCACCTTATCAACATTCACATCAGGCGCATCCACACAGGGGAGCTCAAGCAACATCTACTTCTGAAATGCAAGATTATTCATCACGCAGGCAAACGTACCACATACGTTGCCTTATTGGCCTGGATTAGTAAATTGAATGGGAACATACTCATGGTGCTTCTATTCCGCGTACAATTGTGCCTTCTCCGGCACCTGAGAAACCGCCCTTTTGAGTAGTTCACGGAATTCGCATCGATCAAATTTGCCTTGGATTCGCAACACCTTCCTCATGTATATATACATACACACAAAATATCCACAACATTACCGGTTAACATGCCATATTGTATACAATTACCGACCATACCTGTTTGTATTGGCATGATCATGCCTTCGCAAACGTATCCCGCACTGCTGGGAATAAAACATTTATTTATTTGTTTATTTATAGGTACAATCTCTTGGAGGTAAATATGTTTTGGTTTCTAGTTCTATAGTGTTTTGCATTGCTCAGCATCCTCGAAAACATATACCTTGGAGTCTAGACAGTGGAATAATTACACTGATTCTAAATCTCTCGTGTAAACGTACTATTCCATAACGGCTTTTGAGTTATTGGCGAGACTACGTCAAATTTTTTCGGTATATATTACGTGTAAAGCGAGAAGCAGGATCGGTACGCTTTAGAACCAATAAGCGAATATAAGGCCAACCTCCGATGAGTGGAGAACACCAAAAAGTAACGCTAGGAAAAATTTATTAAGTGGGGAGAAACGCCATCTAGTGCTAAAAATAAGGCACCGGAAGATAGCTAGCTAGGGGAAAGGTGTGGTCGCGTGCGCGGAGAGCAAAATGGCCACGTAGCCGATGAGCGTCGCGCCGTTCGAAGGCGGATGCGATGTTGACTCAAACAAACGCGAGCAACGTTCAAACAGGCGAGCGACTAATTTGCTATGTACATCGAGAAAATATAATTTTGCGATTTTGTAATGTTTTACGCAGCATGCGGCAGCCAAACAGGGGAATCTCCAGGTCACACGTGCACATAGAAAGTCTGATTTTCAGCCAACTGCTTACTACCCAAAAAGTACTGATGCTCCCGAGTCATGTTGTATCCAATGGTTAAAACGCAACAACACCTTTTGTTTCCTTTCTTTTTTCCTTGTATTTGTTAGCGGAACGAATGCACGATTTTTAGCATGGTACAATAACAACCGTCACCGCAGGTACCTCGGTACGTGTAAACGAAAGCGAATTTTCCGGTATTTTGGCCTTAGTCGTGCCAAACCAACTAAGCTTCCTGGAACTAGACTATTTATGTTATCTACCTTGTTGTCGTTAGGCTATGATGTAGACTTTCTTCGATAATCTGTTTGCTCTGACGTTTGATGCTCTTGGTCACTTATTCATAGGAAATTTCATACAAAATTTCCTCCTCGTAAATTTGTTAGTTTAATACATTAGGCTTTCCTTTGTAGAAATATGTTATCCAGTTAGTTACTTTCACTGGAGATGCTTTTTAACCTTTTTCCATTCTATTGCCATGTTTCCCTTTCACTTCCATGTGTGTGCCATACATCGGGACCTATGAATAAACAGAAAAATACCGTTACGAATGGAATAAATCAAATAAGGAGGTCGGCTCAGGGGTTTTGACTCGCCCTTTCATGAGGAACGTGTAGCTACGCTTCTGTAACAGAGATTCCAACGAATCACATGCAGCCGCCTGGAAATCAACTATTTGAGTTCACATGAATGCAGACATGAACTGGACGCAACCGATGCGGCAACCTTTTAACTAAAAGACCAAGCGTGCTGGGTGGCGAAAATTAACAAAATCCTTCGTGTTAAATCTTGTTGCTGTAAAACAATTCTTCCTGCATGACTAGTACAAGCTTCGGAATCAAGGGTTAATTATTCCTAAGAATTTTGTTATTCATGCTTTTGCATGGGAGTTTTATACTAACCGATCTGATCCTTTGTGGCAACGGCTTTTAGCAAACGCCCAGAAGTATATTCTTATCTAGTTATATACTTATTTAAAAAATACGAAAACCCCTGCAGGAGGCATTCTTCCATTTGTCGCTTCAGTGTAAAGTCAAAGATTGCACGACGCTTAGAAGCACCTGGCTAGATACACTGGGGAGTTTGTCTCTATCAGTCAATTATTTAAAAGGACAAACACCCCCCACTAATTCGAAGAAGAAAGCATTCCCTTATATTTAATAGCACTATCCATAAATTGAACCAATACCGTAGCCTATCTAACGCTCGCTGAATAGTTTTGGAACCCCCAGAAAATTCAACAATCTTCCAAAGGTACAGATCATCGGAAAATATCAGCGATGGTATCTCAAGCTTCGAAGGTAGGCCATTCAAATAGAGAACAGCAGCCGTAGAAGGAGCGAGCATTGCGTTAAGTCACTGCGGACAGTTTGCCTAAAAATAGGCTGCAGCCCACCCGCACACTCGGTTCTCTATCATCCAAAAATGCAGCCACCGAGTGAAGTACGCGATCGGATACACCATAAGAACACAGCTTCTGCGTATGGCTCAAATGTAATGCCGTATGAAATGCATTTGGAAATGTAACGAAAAGCACGTCTAGGGCTTGCCTTTATTCACTGCATCCGCCCAACGTTTGCTAGTTACAATAGATGCCCCAGCCAAGAAAATCCTTTCCGGGATCCGTGTTATGGGCTAGAAAGTAGATTGAATCTGTAATTATAATCTCGCAATGAAACTCTCCCCATTTTCTAGAGAGGTTTGATCACTACACTGGTCAGGTTAACTGGCCTGCAGTTTTCAGACGGAGTTCTGTCACTGTTCTTGAACATGGAACCGATGACAACTTTCTTTCCTTCGGAAGGTACCGCATCGCAGCAGTGCAATTTCTGAAGCACGATAGTGCGCAGTACACTTAGTTCCGCAGTCAACTCATCTAACAGTTTCTGGAGAATTAAAGCAGGCCCAGATGCCTTAGAAGGCTTCAGCGCTTGTAGCAGCCTACGGACATCTGTCTCCGCTACAATATATTCAGCTGGGCCCGAACCCTCTAGCATCCTTGTACTCACCAAAACGCCTGTGAACTAGTTCTATCTTACAAACGCTCCTGCAGATTGCTCACCAATTACCCAAAATTTCTCACAGTCCGTGTGACTATCAGTACCGTGGGCACGCATCAACACTGGAATTGACGAGTCCGAACCTCTTGACCTTTGCAAGCAACTAGGTTGAATCCTCTGGAACTGCAACTGCTGGACCTTTCTCGAACTTAAGCTCCTCATTCCTTAAGACTTGTTTACACCTATTCTTAGCCTTACAGTACCTGTCATCGGTAACGGTAGATGGAATATCCCTTTAAGTCTGCCAAATTTAGTCCTCTTTGTAAGCAGATGCATGCCAGTAGAACCTATCCAGGGGATGTGCGCGTGTCTCTTTTCTCCTTGTGTCAGGAATGATGGTAGCCACGATTTCTGTGAGGTATTTTTTTGTGCTTATCCCAGGCTACTTGGACAATATCATCACCTACATCTCACAACGAAACCCCGTAGAATTGTCGCTTACTGACTGATAGTCTGCTTGCCATGTGTTTGGGTGACTCAACAGTACTCTGATAACGTTTAGACAGAGTGCAACTGAGGCGCAAACACACACAATCACAAGCTCGCAGTGAATGCCCGCACGTAATGTCATCAACAAAATCGAATAAGTTGATAAATACAAGATCTAATATAGCCGGTACTTAAGCGTTTATATACCTAGTGGGGAGTTCCATGAACTGATGCAACGGTACTTGAAACCTAAGCTCACGAAGCTTTGTGCCGAATGTACCTGACGTAGAGTTGCAAGAAAGATTTTCACGGCAAAACCCTGAGAGGTTGAATTTGCCCAGCACCAAACACATGTTTCCGGTGTGGAGGCCAATAAACCAAAGAATCTTTGGATAGAATCCCAGGAATTTTATGCAAAATAATAACTGTAACCTGAGACGATGAGGTAATAAGCACAGCGGACTAAAATAAATACGTCTTCAGATGTCCGGTTTACAGTTATGATAACGTGCAACGCCTCCTCATGGTCAGCCAGCGGAGCGTATGCATCCATATATTGCGTGGTCAGAGAGACGCAGTTCTTCATCCGTGGTGTCATGAGACAGCTACGTTTCAGACAATGCAAGTATATCAGGATGAAACCCATCTACAACCAAAGCTATTTCGTGCACATTAGTACTTAGGCTACGCATATCGCTGAGCACAATCTGGAGATATTCGTAATGTTTAGCCATAGGTCGCTCTCTACCAGAATGAGCACTGGTAGGGTGGGAAAAGTACGCCGGCTAACCATCCGAAAACCCACCAGCCGGATACCTTGATCATCTGCCGCTCGCTTGTTTTGAATGTCTTAGATGGCCTCGTTTAACTTCGGTCTGTCTGACAGCAGAAGGTCAGGCTGATTACGAATCTTAGTATCTTTCAGTTTAAAAACACACCGCCGTGAGCATTGCGCCCTCCGGATAGAGTGATCTACACCAAGTATCCGCGGTCGAGGGTTTGTTGCGCTAAAAGAGCTGTTCCCAAGGTTAATCAGCTTGCTGACAGTAACGCCTAAGAAACCAGGCGCTACGCACATTGTAAACCAATTGAGGTCGTCCAACGTGCGTTTATCACGGAGGACTGCGGTAAATGCAACCACTTCAAGGAATATAACGCTAGTATCAGGATAAGAATCACCAGGAAGTGGTGTATTCATTCCACAGGCCTTTGAGTCAACACGGTACTGATGGCTACACTACTTGTGGTGGGCTGTCCTTATCCCTTCAGATGAGTTAGGAACGGCAGCGCTTGATTTTCGCTCTACTGTTGGCTTCCGTTTTTCGGGTCCCAGAGCCAACCCAAGTCCTAAGATCAGACATATACTGCTTTTTTCTTCATAACGGGAACTGCGGGATTTGAGGCTTCACCGCATCCAGTATAGACGAACAAACAGTAAGAACGCGCTTCAGCCATATCAGCTGAGATGGTTCGCACCATCGACTGACATGTAAATCGTGTAGGAATTTTCTCCTTTGTACAACCAGTAGACGGCTTGCCGGGTGATGACACTTGGCTTGTTTCCGTTGCCAATCCAACTATGTGCTGTCGTTTAGCAAGGCACCTATGGGAGTGCCCGGCTCTGTTTTGTCTTACACTAACAGGCCTATGAACCAGCAATGCGGCATCGTTCATCGTAAGATCAGATACGCCTACGAAGAAGCTTAGGTTGTGTGGTCCGCAACCGTCGAGACGGGTGACACAATGGCGGTGCCACAAGTTGACCTCCATTACAAATGACCAAATCTGCTTTGTTGGAGACATAAAGCGTCGTTCTGCCCATATCAACCTCGCGGTGAAGAATTTAGGGCATCGAATATGAACGCTTTACATTTTGTAGATAAGCATCAAGGAATTCGAACCTTTTACAGAAGTCTGGTTTTCTGGTAACTGCAACGTCCGGGGTTCGGACGCATGCAAATCTGAACAACGAAATGAGAAGACGAATATTGGCAGATGCTAGCATTTCGTATTATCTCGTCAGTAGCAATACAATAACAGTGAAATCCTTTTATACGTCTAATAGGACACAGTCAAGCCAATCAAATTCATGATTTTGGTTATTGTTGTTGGGAATAGGACCACGGCAACCGCAGGTTGGCAACTAATTGCTTTTGAGCACATATAGCTGGTCTAATTCGGCTTATCTTGACGGCCTCGGCAAATCACGAAAGACGTGAATTAGTGAGACGCAACAAGATGCGTTACGCCGATAAGGGATTGATCCGGTGACTAGTCGCCAAAATGTGCCTGCCTATGGAGGACGCTGGCGGCTTACGCGAGCACGTATCGTCGGAGGTGGATTGAGTAACTTCGCGCTGAATCTGTTTCTGTACACATTGCCTAGTTCACATTTATAGGTATTTGGCAACATTATGCGTGCCACTGCCCTGCCATAAACCGTTATGCGCTGGTCATTTTCTTCGAAATAAAAAAGCAGAAAGCTTGTGCGTTTCATTAACAAAATTCGGTTGATGAGCCTTGCTTCCTTTTTCGATCGCACTCGTTCACGATTGAAAAACGTGAAAATTTCCAACTTTGCAGCGTTATTTAGCTTTGAGTGGGAACTAATTTTAAAGTGATTTTAAAGTAGATAGTGCTCATATCACCATGTAATGTTTTAGATGCTGCCAGCGTTTACAGGACACGATTTAGAATATGTGGATTTGCTCCCAGTAGAACGACTTCTTGACTTAGAGTATGCTGATGTTATTGCCTTAATCTGTAACAGCTCCCAGACGTGCCAAGCGGCACTGGACAGATTAGCACTAGCTGTGCGTCACTTCGGGCTTTGCTTCGCACCCTCGAAGTGCAAAGCGTTCCTCCAAGATTGGTCTGGACCGCCTCCTACGCTAACCCTTGGTGGGGATCAGCTAGAAGTCGTTCAAAAATTCAACTACCTGGGAAGTTGTATCAGCGCCCGTGGGATTGAAGATGAGATCACGAACCGTATAGCAAAAGCTCGGGGGGCTTTTGCTAACCTTCGCCACTTATGGCGGCGGCGCGACATCACTCTTGCTCTGAAGGGTAGAGTGTAGGATGCAGCGGTACGTTCGACCCTACTGTACGGTTGTGAAACCTGGCCGCTTAAAGCAACGGACCTGAAGAGGCTAGTTACGTTCGACTACAGCTGCCTTCGCAATTTAGCTCATATCTGGTGGGAACACCGCGTGAGTAACGAGCGTGTTCGACGCCTTGTTTACGGCACAGGAAAAGAAAATGAACCGCTCATCACCGTTATTTCCCGCACCAGACTCCGATGGCTCGGCCACGTGTTACTCATGCCAGCCCACCGACTTCCGCGACGTGCGTTGTTTGCGCGCCGGGGTGTGGATGGAAGTGGAGAGGGGGTGGCCAAGCGATGACTTGATCCAGAGGAATGAACGCCCTCACTTTTGAGCTGACCTCGGTTGGAGCGTCTCGGCTCCCTGGTTGGGGTCCAAAAGACGATGAACACGTTTGGCTGGACACACTTGCTGACATGGGTAGGAGCCGACCTCAGTGGCGTTCGTGCTGTGAGTTTCTTTGTCCCACCCCATCCCTCTTAGGCCTCCCCCTCCAACCACGATCTCACTATTTAGCCTTATATAATTATGCATAGCAATTTTTTCGATGCACAGTAGCCGGTTGGTAGCTTACCAGAACGATGCCTATCCGTTACCGGTAGCTCAGCCGGGGGGCACCAGTTGCTTTTTTCTCCTTTTTCGGTGTATTGCGGCACAGTAGCTGAGGTGTTCCCCACCTCTAGCTAACGTGTATGATGATGATGATGAGCGGAAACAGAGGAACAGGCCAGTAGTATCAAGTGCTTGTTGTAACTTCACTCAGAGCTTGTGGTGCAATTTTTTTTGGAAACGTATGAGATTTATAGACATGTTTGGTGTTGCATTTTGTCTATATACTTAGAAACGTGGGATGAGTATGTGTTGCATGGCTTACACATCCGGATGCCGAAAACGAGACATTCCTACTGACCAAACTATGTTAATATATTAGTCTACCTATTCCTATGACGTGCTTCCAGTAGGAAGCGGAAATCGTGGTTGGTGTCATTATAAACACCTTCCTAGGACACAACATGCGAACGGCTTACATACTGATGTATTATATCCAATGGATATGATGCAGATGAAAGTGCCCTAAACATTAGTAGCGCCATTCGTTGCAAACTTCCCACATCAGCAAGGTCGTGCTTCTATTACGAATGAATGGACTGGATACCGAATTTCAAGGGAGTTTGCACGAGGGAATTTGGCACCCATGGAAAATTTGATTGGCCGTATTGACCAAGGCCTGTGCGTGAACGGCGGTCAGTTTTCTTATTTTGACAACGTCAATAATCTAAATCCAATAATTGCTGTTGGTACGTTGACAATTTTAAACAACTAAGGTTGACTTACGTAAAAGTTCGCACAAAAAGCGAGCCAAAATATCAAGACATAACATAGTCTGGATAATTATTGAAACCTGCGGGATAACATATGCCTGAGGAAAGGCGAATTCAAAGTTAAGGTTGAATGTAGGACCTACCGGGATCAAAGGAAATGTTCCGTCAACGATTTGCCGTATGATTTACTTAGTAGTCATTTTACGTATTTTACACATGTAGTGAGTTTTAGTTTATTCCTTAGTTGATCTGGCCGTGCTGAGAATTCTTGCCTATTGGCATAGAATATCCCACAAATTGGCGTAAATCACCCAGGTGACATTGATTGCGCTGGTATAATTTTTCGCCTTGTTTTAACTAGGGTTTGGTTTCTAATTAGCAGCTATAGCTATTAATTTAATCAGCTCATAACGAGGTCCAAGTGTAATTGGTAGTTAGCAATCACTACTATTGCGAGACAATCAATAAATAACGCCTTTGGTGTGAAACTTCACGTGAGTAGATTTCGTTGTACAGAACGTGTCACTGAGATTTTTACTCTGCTAATCACGTCTATCCCAATATAATGCAACCAAGGTAAAATTAAGATGTAAGTGCAAGCACAAAACTAACTAGTGTCTGCATAAACGCTTTTTACGGGGTCCTTATCTGGAACGACGTAGATAAACATGTTTATCCAACATGTTTATCCAATGAATTGATTGTGCGCACCGTCTAAACCAGAAAACACAGTATTGGAATAATTCAGCAAAAGAGCTAAAATGATGTAAACATTTACGGTAGCAATGAAATCATTAATTAGGCAAGAGATCAAATGTTATTTGCGTATACTCCACATCACGATACCGACAAACGCAGTGCAAAAACGCGTGCGCTGTGATTTCCTGCTGACGTTAGGGAGGTTGACTTTTTCCTTAGAAGGCTAGAAAAACGTGCTGTGTTATCACTGATTTTATGTAAATGAAAGGTTATGATGAGTTTACTAGGAGTATTTAGCCTGACATGCGTAAGTAGTAAGCAATTTGAATACTTGTTCCGCGGTTAAATAAACCTTTTGTCGCTTCCGCATCGGTACGGTGACATCAACAGGCTAACACAAATAATCTTAGTACGGATGGGCAGTTACCTAGCAATTATACTCTGGCATTTACCAGGACGTACGATACAGTAAATTTAAATCTCAAATATACTATCATCATATATGGGTAAGACGGTAGTGACAAAATCAGACTACGAGCCAGCTCGTCCAAGTGCGTGCTGGTGAAACCATCGATGGGTTTTCATGAAAGAATGGAAATTTCACAGGGTCGGGTCTACGAATACATGTTTGACTGTGTTATGATTTGGACGTAAGCAAGTGAGATAGAAGGATGTTTCACAAATCGCACATCGGGTTAAAGTTGAAGTAAATGTATCGTTCCAACCGGCTAAAGTGTGTTACAAATTTTGTCGATGGACCTTTAGTTTGATGATATGGCCAAGAACCGGGCGGAAGCGGAAAATGTATTTTGTGTTAATTATAGATTATTAAGCCAGTATGGGCTCCCTGTTAAGGCACATATAACTATTACTATGTTTCTGTGTTATTCTACTGGATGATGATGCGGAAGGTGAGAAAGCCAAAACCTGTTTTAGACACATCCGCTACGATGTATCAAACCAATCCAGATCTTGCTTTGTTTAGTAAGGCTTACCTGCATGACGCATTCCACGTGTGGTTTGCTCAGGTATTAAATGTTTGTAGAAATATTGGGATGTAAACCAAGCATACGAATTGTCAGTTTTCGACGTTGTACCGCGTCTGAGATTGATTCCCTGATAATTTGGAAAAATAGACCTAGACACATTCGAACGCAACCGATGAAATCACACACTATTATCCATCTATTTCACACATACTGCATTTCGTTACGGATGGATAATTTTGGAGGACACCTAATTATCATGTGTACCACTACGATGGCTTGTGCCGTTAAATTAATTGCGAGTAATAAAGCTTGGGTATCTTAGTACTGCATACAGTTCATAGATTTGTATTTATCGTTTCGCGGAACAAGTTATATAGTATCCGTTTTCTATTTGTGCCAGGTTGGCGAAGTTATAGTAAGCGTTTTCACTGGGTCGCATGCAAACCCTGATATAATTGACATTGGACAAACGTAATGTGACGTTCGAAAAGCAATAGGTCACATGTTATCCCTCATCAAATAAGTTACAATATATTGATGTTATTTGCTGAGTACAACTAAGTAACTTGTTAATTGTTTGTAGAAGGGCCTTATCTAGACTGTGAAAAATGAAGGAAATGTTTAGGACAGATTTGTTTTTGCAGAAATGTCAGTATTTCACTGCACTTGCGAATCGTTTACAATTAACG